ATGTGCGCCCGAAGGGCTATCTGATCCGATCAACTTCGAAAGCCGTAGCGCGCTAGCGCGCGTACTCTTCCTCTATCTATGAGCGAGACTCTATCCATCGATCCGGGCAGGAGACATCACCCGTCCTTTACTGCATGGGGCGACATAGGAAACACACTTAGAGACAGCTATTCCGCTACCGACAGGGCTAGCACCTTTATGCCCATACCTTCCTTTCGCTTCCTGCCGAAAGAATATACTCTGGGGCAGCAGTCGCCCTAACGAAAGAATGAGGAGAGTGCTTCCGAAACGAGAGAAAGACTTGAGAAATCCCTTCCGTTACCGATAGTGAGATAGCTAGCATACCCTACACCCACATTATAGTAAGATACTTTATCTTCTGGCCTTGCCTTCTTCCGGAACGGGTAGATACTTTCTCTGGGACAGAGGTGGCGCCAATGCCTACAGCTAGCACCTGAGATTCTCATATCTTTTTTCAATTGAAAGCTGACAGTAGGGCTTCCCCTATGCAATTAACAGAAAGGTCAGTTCCGCTAAGGGGTTATTGCTTGATCTAGCATCTTTAGATTATTTAGCTATTAGCTATACTCAGCACCTTATATTATTATATATGTTTATTTTATGCTCATCAATGGGAAATTACCGCGATTCTGCTATTGATGTGAATTTTTTTCTATCGTCCTCTTGTTCCCTGTATGTTTATACCAATCCCGGCTAGATTAGAACCCCTTCTATGTATCCCTCTCTTTCCTGTTCTAAGAGAGCGGCCTGCCTCTCTTCCTTCCTTTAGTAAGTACTAGAGTAGTAGATGCGCTTAGTTACCAGTCACTATTCCTAAATAAAGATAAGGAACTTCTTCCCGATCTGCCTTTCCTGGGTCACTCTGCAAAGATTCGACGATTTCCTCTTCTGAATTAATGGAAAAGTGCCCGTGCTTCCTATCCCGACATTGAGGAATTCCCCCCTAGGTTGAAAGAGTGGGTTAACCAAGTTTCTTCAATTCAATAAGCAGGATACTTGCAATTTGCTGCTATCCCCCGAGCACGAGAAGATGAAAAAGAGGGGCTCCAATAATTCCTCTCTCCCCAGGGGACCTCTCAATACTCAATAGAAGGAGAAACGACCCATTACTCCACAACTTCTTTATTAATATAATCGGTTGTGTACTATACGGGGGTGTACCCCAAGCCGAGCTATCAAGTCAACTTTTGGATTTCTTCCTATGCCAAGGACTGGTAGACGGTCCTACTTTTCTACCCTGAGTGAGCTTCTTTCTTCAAGTTAACCAGGGCTAAGTTCTACCTTAACTTAAGTGCGCTTGTAGCTCGATAAGGTATTTGATTCCCTCCATTCCAAAGGACTGGTCCTAGGGCTTCCCTTTCCTAGTAGCTGGGTAGCTAGCTAGAATATGAGACTACCCTTTCCGAGGATGATTTTGTGAATTCAACATATAAGAAGGCTTCTCTCGGGCTTTCGCTTGGCTTTCCTTTATTTTATTTTATGGTTGGACCAAGAGGTGCTACTTTGTTGTGTGTGGTAATGAGCCTCCTGCCCTTTCTATCTAATGGATCCAATCCAGATCCAGATCTAGTATACGTACAAGAATAAGAAGGTCTCTCGAACCTGAAGCCATGCAGTCTAAAAGCCTTCATTGATATAGGGAGGAAGGCACTGTATAGGTAGCCAGTCTTACACGCGGTTCGGAAAAAGCCGAATATAAAGGTGGGGGATCACCCACACTAGCACTTGATAGTTGCTGGATGAGCTCAACGCACGAAAGCCATTTCATTTTTGAGTGGTTTCTTTGTTGAACAAATACAGGAAAATAATCAGTTCTCCTACCCCCTCTGAGGAGTTTCTACTAAGAACCTAACAGAACTTTTCCAGGCAAAAGGGATAGCTGGATGGAAAACCTAGCTCTATCTATAACTATAAGTATAAAGCCCGTCCCTCCA